CTCCGTCTTATTAGAAGGGTACGTAATAGCAATATCAGTGAACGCAACTAAAACCAGACTGACTTTATCCCTTCTGGATCATCAGACAGATTCATTCGTCATATACACATGCTGATAACACAGTGGTGGTGGCCACTGATAGTATGAAGAACACGGTCAATGGTCAGTCGTCATCGATCACTTTTGATTCTGCTCTTGCTACATGGAGATATCTGACGAGTCTGTTCAGTCTTCGCCAAGACCTCGCCTTATGTCATGACACCGGAACTTTTTGCCCTTCATCTCGGTCTTCACTTTCTCTCAACTTACAAGCATATCAATCAGTCCAATGTCAACATCATCTCACATCGTTGGACTCGTATTCCTAGTTCTGAAAAACCTCACCCACACGCTTTCAGTCGAGATGGGAATGACGTAATTCAAGTTGAAGCTGTGGTACGCAAATCGACCTCGGATATCTTATCCGCTACAATCAGAAGTGGAATGAAGGATTTATTAGTACTCAAAACTACTGGTAGTAGTTTTGAAAACTTTATCAGAGACGAAGTGAGCCCAACCAACCCTGTTCTTCCGATACCAAAACACAAGTTTAGCTAATATTTGTGAGAATTGATAGTGGACCACCTTGCCAGAGGCCTCAGATCGGATCCTATCCACTTCAATCGAATGTTGGTATAACATTGACCTACCAGCTTCACTTGAGCTCGAATCCCTTCCCAAACTATCCATTGATTTTCCAGCCCTCTCGAAATCAGTACGCGCTATCACACTTGAGACTTTTGCTAGTGATGAGAGTGCAAGTGTGCAAGCGACATTGTATAAAATGTGTGAAGATATCATTCGCACCAACCCAGCTATCAGTAATGTCTTCTATAGCCTACCAAACAAAGTATGTCTTTCTTCTCACTATCTTTCAATATACCATTGACTTAAAGTTGATAAGCTAATCTCCTTCGTGAATCTGATCACAATCACAAGCATTACTTGCCCATCGATTTAAGTTGGTATCAAGGCATTTCGAACATCCAGCCTCAGGATGCAGAAGTCTTTGTGCCAGTGGATGCTCCTTCAGGCTTGATCACCGCGACTGTGTCGAGGGCCGCACATGAGCCTAACCCTTCATAGCTACTTTTGGCCCTTCCAATAAGCCTGATTGGCTGACCATAAGAGTCTTTCCACATGTTGGCTTGCATGATTATATGAGTATCTTACCTCTCTTCACCCACGAACGGGGTAACAAGTTGATACATACCCCGTATTCTTGAGGGTGAAGCTTGGTTGTACAAAGCTTGTAATAGTAATCAACTTTCCTATGTTGTATTGCTCACTTATTGTAACATGAGACTTCGAAGTACATTTAGCACCAAATACCCTTGAAAGAAGGCGGTTTTGAGACTCTGCAGCAAGTGGTCAAGAGATCGAACTATACCATTTGCTGCACTTTTTGTACCACATCCTAAAATACAAAAATGATTGAAGCAAACTCAAATATTGATTTCTCCCAACATCCCTGTTTGAAAAGCAGGTGTAAGTAGAGTGAATACAAATGAGATTCAACTTTGTTGATTGCCACTTCATAAATCTAGCACGCAGTTCTATAAGTCCTATCCTGGGTGCTATAATCACCGCTATCCGATGCTTCATGGATCAACTTATGTCCAAGATGACAGATCGTCATTGAAGGCGGGAAATTTTGTTATCACCTGGCTGATTTTCTCTATCCGAGTAACATCATCTCAACTTATCTGGACCAGTGTTCAAGGAAGGATGTGACCAGGCTGCTAGACAGGCAATGATTTAAAATATGTGCGAGAAACTCAAAGAAACTATTTGAAGTGAGGACAGAAAACACAAATATCTATCACATCATATATGCTCAGAGAGAATCAATAAGCCTATACATAGAAACTTTAGGTAGGAGGTACAAGATCAACCCACATCCCACTAAAAAATGCGTGAACATGTGGTCAGTAATAGTATGAATGCTCCCTCCCTACCTTTAGCCAACATATAGGATACTTTGAATTAAAAACCTTGGTTGACATGGGCTGTGTTTCCAAGGAGTGATAACAGTTCTAGAATGAAATTTTCAATTGACTTGATATGTTGGGTCCTTCTTGAATCAAAGCCATCCTTGCTTGTGGCTGAAATAGCAGGATTCAAGTAGGAAAAATGCCTGAAATACTGTCCCTGCATCAAAATGCTACTTATAAATTGTCGATTTTGAACACACTGTCAGAAAGCCCCACCTGGGAAGAATACTCCTTGTAGCAATTTATTTTTTGCAAAGATGAATTTTGAAGGGCCGGGAGGCCAAAGTGCATAAAATTGTAGGCACTTTTGGGCCAACTTGAACCCCGCTAATACGCTCATTGTGTTTGCAAAATCCTCAATCCAAATGGGGGTATACTGTCAAAGTAGTCAAGGATCTCTCAACTTTCTTTGATCACTCCCTAAAGACAGCGACTTCATCAATTAAATCTGAATTTCACCCAAATGATTTACAAAATAAAGGATCAACAAAATAAATAAATCCTTTCAAGCAAGTTTCATTTATCCAAAATTAAATAAATACAAATACATTTCCATCTTCACATTAAGAATAAAAAACCCATTAATTCAACATAAATCCTATTGTCAAATTAAACCTGATACATGCTTTTATGAGTAAAACAATCAAATTGTCAAGATCGTATTGAATAAAAAAACCAATGCTATGCTATGCTGAATTCAAACTAGAGAGATACAAAAACACAGATAGAAGTAAAAAATTAAAGGAGATATGATGTGTTTATATGAAAATAAGATGCATAATGGATAGGGTTACAGATGTCAAAGAAAAGCTAAAGTAGAAAAAGTCATGGTTTATTGAGTTCTGTACCACAAGCTTTAAGAGCTTCATCAATAGATTCATGATCAGCCAATAAAGTCATATGTCCAAATTTACTCTCAACCACTGAAAAAATTAAACACAATAAGAAGAGTTCAGTTAATCATGGACTTCATTCCTTGATCCATGACGTTGAAAATCAAAATGGTCACTCACCCTTCGTAACTTCTTTCCCCCATCCTCCAGGAATTCCTACTGCACTTTCCCACAGTATCACTCCATCTCCCCAATCAAAAACAAGTGAGTTATATCCTTCTTCTGCGAACCTTTCTGGTTTTGGTTCGGTTATCATGGTACCCTTCACTGTTCTAACTCGATTAGCTGCCACAATCGCCATTGGAGGGTACTTTTTGCCAGACACATGTGATGTCTTGAGTCGAGCACGAAAGCTTTCGATCCGCTTGATACATCTTTCAAAATGTGCTCGAATCATCTCTGGTGTAGCATTAGAAGGATGTAAAGCTTCTGACGACTTGGTACGCTCTTGCTCCACTTTCCTCTTCTTGCCGATGTTTCGTGGCTCAGGTGACATCCCTACTGAATCTTGTAGACGAGGATGAAGACCTTCGACGAGAGTAGAGGGCCTTCGTGTGGCCGGACCAGTCAATCCCCGTTCACAAGATTCCGTGACACCAGCTGCCAATGGACTTAGACCGTATTTATCCCATGTTTTGATATTTGAAAGGTCAAGCTCGATAGGCTTGCCATCCGGGGTAAAAAAGCTACTACGATGGGGTAGAAGGTAGAACGAAGAGGGCCACGCTGTTATGCAAGAAAGAAGAATGAGATGAAAGTCGGGTCAGCTGAAAAGAAATTTAGCCAGGGTGAAAGCTTTGTTTGACTTACAAGAGCTTGTGTAAGGGTTACAGAGGTTGACCTGCCTAAAGAATCCATCCCCATACCTGAAAGGTGAAAAGATACCAGGACAACCTTGAAAAGGTGTGCCGAAAAAGACAACTTGTTTGAAAAGTGACATGTCTTCAGCTCTAGAAATTGCATTCAGTAGTACCAAGCCACCCATGGAGTGGGCAAAGACCGTAGCTCCTCGACCATCACGAGCGGAAGCCTTGATTTTGGTCAAAAACTTCAAGAGGCTGTCAGTGGTTTCTTCCAAGTCGGCTCTGAAATCATAACCCCATTGTTCGACCTTGACCCAACTATCAGGATCGTTCTTTCGGCGTGTGTTGAGTTGTTCCAACCTTCTGCGTAAGCTGAAGCCCAAGTCAAGTACGGGAGGTAGTGAATTAGAAACTCCAATGCGATCTAACATTGGACCGCTTTCGATGCCGTTAGAGATGTCCACCAACCGGCGTTCCTCTCCAGTCCATGCAGAGCCTCCATAAGCTTCATCCGCACTCAGTAGCATGGCTAGGTCTGGATCGCTATCTCGCTTGAAGATAGCCTCGTGAACATTTGGCCACAAGACCCGTGGTGCTTTGCCTGTACTGTTGGTTTGTTGTAGGACTGAACCCCTAAACCCACCCAGGATCACTACGTTTCCACGAAGAGCCTTCAAACCAGAATGGGCGCTGTGGTTTCCTGAGGAGTGCGAGCTGTGGTCGCTTGTAGGTCCGATTAAGCCAGCCTGGATAGATGAAGGCGGGGAGGGAATTTCGACATTGACGTATTCTGAAAACCTGCTTGACGTTCCATCAGAAAGCACATTTGGTGCGTCGCTATCAAAACTGCGATGGGAAGGGGTTGACGAAGGCGTTGAGGAGATGTGTGCGGAGGAGGATGAAGGTGTTCGCGTTGATGGTGAAGCAGAGGGTGAAGAGGTGTTAGGCCGTATGGCGCTGAATTTAGACCCTAGGACCGAGGGAAGGTAACTCGAAAAGTAATGAGTCAACGTCTGTCGGATGGCCAAATTTCGGTTCGAAGGTAGATAGTCTAATTCGTCTACCGTTCGTAGCGCAGAAAGGTCAATAGGTACACTGACTGCGCTGAGTCGACTTGCAGACTTCAAAACACGCTTGTATGGCTGTAATCTTTCGGGAAGATGAATGTATGCGTGAAGAGGGATTGAAGTGTTGTGCGCGGCAGCATGCACTGAGAAGGTTGGCCAAGATAACGGGACAAGAGTCGTCTCTTCTGTTCCGTTTGTTGTATCCATAGCGGATGGAAGAAGGGACGGCGGTGCTGAAGGGGGTGTTTGGTTAGAAATCGAACTCAAGGGCCTGAATGAGTAAGTCATCGCTAATTATCAGAAAGAAATGTTTATAGGTCAGCTGCTATTCACTGTTTTGTGTAAGAAATCGTCACAAAAGTATATGAGAAAGGGTGAGAGTCTTCGATAGAGAAGTGCAAGGTAGGTAAAGGATTAGGCAGTTTCCAAGTCGGGTTAAATACGATATAGAAACAATGACGTTGACAAGCAAAAGTTATTGATGACGATGATGCGCAGAAACAAAAAAATGGAGGTTGGTTGCGAAGGATGCTCACTGTGAAAATAAATCGGTATACAAGAGAGACGAGGATGGTATGTCGTTTGATTTGATTTTGATGTTTGGTAAAAGAATTGGAAGTGCTGAGATTCCTATTAAAATCTGCCTAACAAATGTCCTTGGGGTGTCTGATCAATTCAGACTAACTCCTATCGATTGAGAATGGCCGGTTGAGACAGGGGAGAGACGTTATCAACTTGCTGAGCTGATGAACATTGAGTAATGCCAAAATTGTAATGCAGGATGTATGCACCAATGAAAGATATGAAAGACTTACCAGTACGTGTTTTTTGTGAAATGATTCTCAACAAAGGTGATGAAGTCTGAAAGTGACAAGGAGGATCGCCAGCAGTCCGAAGGTGCAAAACTTGAAGTCGAAAGTAGGTGAAATAGAACGATGTCGCAAGCAGACTGATGAGTCTGAGAGTTGAATGTTGTCTCAAGTCTAAGAGCCAGTGGCCGAGTGTAGACGTTGAAGCAATCGAATGTCCTGGCAAAGAGTCGGATTGGAAGCGGTTGAGATCAAGGAAACAAGATAGGAGTGAATCAAAAGACCAGGTCTTAAGAAGGATGATCGATGTGGAGTTGAAGATGATAATCCTGCAGTGAGAAATGGAACTGCGGGTCAATGACTAGTTGGTAGGAAGAGTGATGAAGGTGATATAGCTGATTTGCTGTTTAAATAATTTATAGCTTGATCCAAGATGATAAGGTCGATAGGCTCAGGATGAAAGTAAATCAGAAAGTATTATTTCATTATTCAGGAAGAGGAGAAAGAGTGAAGTAGAGCTTGATGTGATGAGATGGTTTAGCTGAGTAACATAACTTGTATTGTTGACTTTGACCAGGCACAAAAGGATATCAACGATCAAAACATCGAAAGTAGAATTCATTCATCTTTATTCAAGGGACCAAGGCAGTTCAAGTTGTGTTGAAACTAAAGGCGATTTCAGACTAAAGAATCGACCGAAGTAATGAGTTCTAGTCTAAACTAAACAATTGATGGTGATGATAAGATCACATCACCAGCTTTCCTCGATGTTTCCTCCTCCCGAGCTTTGCTTGTGTTGACGACTCTGTGGCTAGCATTGAGACCCCAGAAGACGTAATAAAGTTGACTCATCCCAGAAATTTTAGACGTCAAGACTCAAGAGCTGAGTAAAGCGGTTGCACAGCTTTACATCAGACCCTCTTCTTCATTTCTATTATGTAAAACCAAGATTTCATCATAGGTTTCATTGAAGTTCATCATTGTTATATGCATCCTGATTCCAGTTCAAACACTGAAGAAAATGCAAACTCTGAACGTCGTATCAGAACGTGAGATTATCAAATCAAATGAGTGGATCATGAAGTAAGTAAGAGAGCGGATGCTGGAGATGCCTGAAAGCCGTACACTTGGGTTCTCAAAAGCCTAAAAGGTAAAGCGAGAGCTGCACAATCACCGCATTTCCATTGAAGACCGGCTTCGCCGCAGGAAAATGATTATTTTACAAGAGGTCTATTGTTGCTGCTGTCCAAGACTCAACTCTGCTGTGAAATCTGGTGAAGATGGCATCATGATCCACCAACTTGTGAGATTAAAAGATGATTCCGCCTTCTCGTTGGATGAACGTATCTTTTGCCTATTCAGACATGCGATTCTTATAAAATGCCGCGGTGGCAAACTGATGGCCATGAGACTGCCACGGCCTGGGTGCGCATTCGCTTTCTCAGTGACTCACGGGGCTTGAACTAAGGCTGGGACTCAAAGTGACTCCTTGAACAGTAAGCTAAGTTCACAGTCGTCAAATGGCTGGCTGCAATCCATGCGGAAATGTCCATTTTGTCAAGTTTGACGATGATGATCAACAATCGGGGTGAACGGTCAACTGGTGTTGGAAATGCTTGCGGATTTCGGTTGGAGCCTGGCGGGAACATGGGCTGCGACAGCAGGGAGCTGGTACCGGGTGAATTCTCAAACCCTAGTAGGTCAGTGTGATATTAGCACATCGCTCTTCGCTACTACCGCCCGCAGCATCCGCAGTCACTCTGAGCTTCACTCGAATTCCAATCACCCACTCGCGCCCCCCCCTCGCTTCGGACCGAAACAGTCACCCCACCTCAACATTCGATACCAGCGAATTCCTCAAGGCACAAGATGGGTCGGTTCAAAGAATATCAAGTGATCGGTCGAAAGTTACCTTCCGACAAGGATCCTAACCCGAAATTATATCGTATGAGGATCTTTGCTCCTAATGATGTAGTCGCCAAATCTCGATTCTGGTATTATCTTCGACAATTGAGAAAGGTCAAGAAGGCTTCTGGTGAGATTGTTGGAATTAATCAAGTACGTTCATCAATCTTGGTCTTGAATTCATTATCCTGTTGTTGAATAACAGCTGACAAAAGTATGACTCATCTTTTTTGATCAGATTCACGAGAAAAAACCTCTCAAGGTCAAAAACTTTGGTATCTGGTTACGATATGATTCTCGATCTGGTACCCACAACATGTACAAGGAATTCCGTGAGATGTCTCGAGCCGATGCTGTTCACGCTTGCTACCAGGACATGGCTTCACGTCATCGTGCTAGATTCCGTTCGATCCAGGTAAAGAAACGCCCGATTTATGTCTCGATCTTGACGAATCCTATAATTTGCTCATTGATAAATTCCCACGTTTCCTTAGGTCCTCCGAGTTGCCGAGATTGAAAAGACCGCAGATGTTCGCCGACCTCACATCAAGCAACTTTTGGTCCCCAAACTTCGTTTCCCTCTACCTCACCGTTGTGTCAAGTTCCGAAGCACATTCATCGCTACTCGACCATCAACTTTCTACTAGTGATCAAATACTATCTTCGCTACTCATCATTGTGTCCAACTCAATGCATGCATTTGATACTATGTATAATCTAGTCAAGGCTAGAGGTTTAAAATTCACACACCTCATCTCGTCCTATTGTCTCGCTCACTTGTTTGCCAGTGTTCTTGACTTACTCGATTCACTCTTATGCCTCTTTACCGATTTTGGCTATGCAAGACGTTTACAGATCTCCAAGTTCGCTTAGACTTAACTCAAAAATTGATGACTTGTCTTGATCACGCGTCCCCATTATCAAGGCAGTATCGTGTAAGATTGCCTATGAACAAATACACCGGTAATATATTCTTCATGAGACCGCCCTCTTTGAATTATGCCCATGTGTTGCGCAACATCTCTTGATTGCATCCCGCCAATGTCTGCCCAACGCTCAGTGAGGTATTTCGAGAGCCTCGCATCATCTTTGTATCAAGTTCCACTTCTTTCCACGTGGTTCAAACTTATCGTGTCCCAAAGAATGTTCATCTGGATCGGTACCACCGGTTTTTCAAGACTTTGATTTCACAATGGCATGAGATGAATGATCTTGCATGATCCTTTGACTAAATATGAGTTTGCAATGCAAGAAGCAAATCTTGGATTCATGTACTGAGAAGTCTTGGTAGGATTTTTTTTGGTGATTCTACCCATGTTTGTCCTAAAAGAAATGTGGTCTATTGACTTCAGATGATTTCATACCAATTTCAGTGCCTTGACACAATCATGATCATCTGCACACATCCTTTCAATTTAATACTTTCATATCCTGTAATCTACTTTTATCCCTTTTCTTTCTACCATACTGATAGCAAACTTTTGTGCTTCATGTTGTAAGTAAAAAATCCTTTGGCCTCTTTCAATTTATCAATGATATCCATAGCTTTTCTCTTGCTCCAATGAAACTGTTTCAAAATTCTTAGATTGACTTATTCTGTTTTTCATCCTTATACTGACATGTTGGGTTTCAAGTCCATGTTCTCTTAGAAATATTCAAAACTTTACATATTTTTTGTGATGTTGCAAAAAAATATTTGCATGAAATAAATCTCTTCTCACAACTTGCAAGTCATAAAGTTAACTCAAGTACTCACTTATATTAATAAAGATAGTCTCACTCTTCAGTGAAGTAGTCTGCAAGATTGAAAAGTTTCTAAAATAATAACATTCTGTCCTACAGATTTACGCAAAAAGAATAGGTATGGTGCTTGTGTGATTTGAGCTAAGACTCATAGTCAAAAGGTTTTAGCTTGGATTGGGGTGTAGAGCCCTAGTTGCAATGTATTGGAAAAAAGCTATACAGGATAGGGTTTTTTAGAAAAACATGCAACTAATCCAAAGGTGATAAAAAGGTCTGCTATGGGGCGGCACGAATTACAAAACACAAAAGGGAGAGGAGAGGCAGGTCAAAAAATCTCTTATAACAATCAGGAATCAAGTACAGTCAATTTCATAAAGGTTGAAATCGAGGCGTTTTGAAAATCAAGAGGTGGTCCGTGCGCGACCCGTGACAGGTCTCAAAATTACCTTTGAGATCGAATAACATACTGTATGACAACCTTTAACAACCCTCCATCTTTAATCCTTGGTGGTGCAGTGGTTTGAATGCGTCAACACAGATGGGCCTAACTCTGTGGTTAATCTCGTGTTCGACTCGCTACCTCGCTTTTGTTACCCACCTTTTTGTCTACAATCAACGAAGGGAGCAAATGCGAGCAAATAAAAACAGCGAAGCTCGTTTCTTTCTTTTAGTTCATGACAACGAGCATATAAAACACGAAAAACTTTGCAAAAAGTGTGATGCCTTAGAAGAAAGCTCCTGGGGCTCAAACCCAAAAATATAAGGCATTTGCACTAAGCTCATACCAGACGCACAAGGGCGTTCACCCAACTGCACCACAGACTATTTGGACTGACGATGGCTACTCTGTTTAGATTGGCATTTTTGTATGCATATCTCATACCTTTCACAGGTGGCGCACGGTCCACCTCTCGATTTTTAAAACGACTTGATTTCAACCTTTATGAAATTGACTGTAGATGATAATAGAAGAGTGTGATCTTGAATAATTAAGAATGCTAGTTTAGTGAGAGGTAATAACTATGAAAAAGGTAATAAGAGGGCTCAAGTTCAATTTTTTAAAATTTTATGTTTATGAATTGGGTATACTTCATAAGTTTGATGCTGTAAAAATTTTTCCCGATTCATAAAAACATATGCAAAACAGTCAAGAGCTTTTTATAGTGTCTTGCCCCTTTTGATAAAACTATTGTGTTTTGTATGTTTTAGAGCTTTTTTTCCTTTGTGATGTTGAGGTTTCTTAGACTCAACATCCATCATTTTGTCTTGGAATCATCATCATGGTCTCAATCTCTGATCATCAAAAGTCAATTCAAGAAGCTTCAAATCCCTATCAAGTTGCTTTATTCCTAGAAGAGAACAAATGCCTGGAGACGCTGCTGTTTGGGGTCCTCTGATCCCTTCTATGGGCTCAATGTTGTTTGAAGGTGACACCAACCGAGCAGCTCTTTTTGACTTTATATTCAACACAAAAGCCCAGCTCACATCACTAATAGATATCATGGAGGGCTTGCGCTATCACAAGCCACGGTGGCGCATGCCATTTGCAACTCCTTTTGATATCAATGATCTGCTTTGTGAGCGCAAGACTGAAATTCAACAAGCCATGAGAACGACTCGAAGTGGATTTGATGCCCTCTTGAAACTCATTGAAACTCATCCCGTCCACTGTGTCTGTGTAGGCTTTGCTAGTTGACAAGCGCACACCAACTCCCTTTGAGGCAGAAAGGGAAGTCGAGCGCGCTCGTCGACGAGCAAACACTACCCGGACACGGTGGTCTTCATGTCTATCTCAAATAACCCTCAACCACCAGTACAGAAACAGCTAGCAATCACCCTAGAGCGCTTAGGAAGCAGTGGGAATGGAGCCTCGGTTGGACGATTTGCACAAAATTACAAATGCTCAATTGGTGCTATAATCAATTGTACTCAGCGTTGTATCTCAGCAATCAATGAAAACTGTGGCCATTACTTACAGTGGCCTGGTTCCTAACGGCGGAAAGAAATATCTCAAGTGATGGCACTTGAAGGTTTTCCTGGTTGTGTAGCATTTATAGATGGGACTACTTTCCCACTTTATCAGCGTCCAGGTCTTGATGGTGAAATGTTTTTCGATCACAAAAAGCAATATTCAATCAACTGTCAAATTGTCTGTGATTGTGATTGGCAAATCACTGCTTTCTATACAGTATGGCCCAGCTCTTGTCGCAATAATCGGATGTAGTCAATGATGAGTCTTTCAATTGATCCTGCTCAATGGTTAGACCCAGTTGAGTTTTTTATTTCTTTTTATTTGCTTTCAATCACATTTCAAGAATCTAAACCAAAACAAATCTTAGATCAGTACATTCTAGCCGACTCAGCCTACCAAATCAGTAACACAATGGTCTCAACATATAAAGGGCCTGCAGCTCTGATTGATCACAATCATATATTCAACACTTTAGTTGCAGTTGCTCGAGTCCGCAATGAGCACACTATTGGTGTTTTGACCAGTAGATTTGGGTCTTTGCAAGAACTACAATTACAGCTGAATGACAGAGATGATATGCTTGCCATTGTTGAATGGATACGTTGTCGTATTCTGCTTCACAACATGATGGGTCAATTGGGGGATGCCTGGGATAAACATTATGATGATTGTACCAAAGAAGAGTTAGATGGAATGTTGAGAAAATATGAAGAAATGAATGCTGAGATGGAGGAAATTGGTCCAGGTAATCTCCGACGTGAACTTGTGCGTGCTTATGTTGTAGCTTTCAATCAACTCGGATGAGTTCAGTACATGATCATATCTTTCTGATTTGTATTTAGTTCAGAGGTGGATTCTTAAGCAAGTATATGTGCTGCTTGATACATAATTGGACTTCCCATCCAAGTCTCAAAATGAACTGAAATTATTCAAATTTCAGTTCCTGGCCATGAACTGGATCCTCACTTATACAGATATCTCTTGAATAGCAATCAAAAGACCACAAATCACACAGATATCTGGATTTTTTGAGATGACAAGAGAAAAGATAAGAAATACAATCATACAGCAATCAAAAAGTCTTGAACAATTGGGGTTCAGGTTAGAAACAAGAGATATACTTGTGTATGTACATATGTACATCTTGAGATGACTATTGATGGAACCTAGACAAATCAAGAACAAATACATGATATGAAGTTTGAACTGAAGGTGAGAACAGAAGAACCGATTCATAGCATAATCTTTGAGTTCTGAAACTCTTGCATAGATGGGACTGGGGTAGAACGCTGAGGGAAGCTAGTGATCCCTATTGATTCAGATCACACCCATGTTCATATCAAATTTCACAAAGGTATGAATGAGTGTGAATGATTGATACAAAAGACTTAGTTAAATGTCAAAAACTTAGTTTGATCGATTGATCATTTGGCTGAACAATCAAGTTTTCCTGGGAACATTAGATCCAGGTATTCCTTGGTATCTTTGATGCTCATATTTTCTTTGTGACACTCTTTAACTGCCTCGCGCCATGCCTTGTTATCATCTTCAATCAATTTATCTTTTTCATCATTTAATCGTGTGGTCTCCATACCAAATCTCTCTTGTTGCCGATCAATTTCTTTTTGAGCTCGAATTTGTTCTTTTTCTTCTTTCTCCTCCATTAGTTCTTTGTGATATTTGTCTTGGCTTGCTGCAATGCATTTGTAACTGGATTCTTGTGTCGCACATCATTGGCATTCAAAGCTGGTAAAGGTTTCAATGGGCAATTTACAGTTGATAATTTCAAACCCTTAGCACTCTTAGTAAACTTTGAAGTAGATTCAACTTGAGACAGTTCCTCTTGATCTCCTTTTCCATGGTTATCTGAGGCAGGGGAAGGTTGTCTTTGAGCCTTACGCTTGATGCTTGACCAATCGGGCTGTTCATATTCTATTATGAGTAGATTGAAATCTGATGTCAGCTCAATTGATAAGTTTCAAAGGATGATGGATCGGAGATTCAATGTGAAAGTCAGACCCACCTTTGGTGCTTGACTGAGCTATTTTTCCAGCTGCTCGCCCTTCCACTTTGTCAATAAAATCAGCTACATTTAAGATAGATTCGAAGTCAATTTCAGCCGGATTGACCAGATAGAATGGTTCTTTTGATGGAGGCGGAAGGTGAAATGGAGGTGAATCATCAGTTGATTCAGATCCATGTAAGCAAAATATGTCTGTGTCTTTAGGGATTTCATTTGATTTGATTTTACTAGCTTCACTCAAGATCATAGATTTAGGCATAATATCAATCTTGGAATCATTGTCAGTTGGAATTGGGTTGTTGAAAGTCATGCTGTCGTGAGCTGCGGCAGAAGTGACATTTGATTTTGTTCTGTAGATCTCATCAAGTTGTTTGTACATAGGACATAGATATTCTTTCTTTTCTTCAACAGAATCAAAACCCCCAGCTATATCCTTTGCGCTCAATCCCACACCAGTTTCACCCTAGTCCTTCTTAGTTTTCATGTATGTCTTTTTGATTTGATCCCAGCGTTTTGATCAATCGACACCATCCAGTTCCATCTTATCAACACTATTTGTATTAGTTAAACAATGTCAATCATTGTAATAGATTTTGACATGAGTGGCAAAGAGATTCCACTCGGCGCCACAACTCATTGCACCAACTTTGGTTTTTGAACCTGAACCACTGAGCTTATCTTGATTTGATTCCGTGCTCATATAATCAATTACAAAAGCAAGAGTACTTGAATCAAACCTTGGGCACTTGTTTGAGGTGACTTGTTCTAGTTCAGTAGGTTGATTGGTAATGTTGGAGTTTGTTTGAGGATTTTTGGGTTGTGCTGACGTGGAAGCCTTGACAGGAACTTTTTTGGAGGTTTCAGTTGTTTGGATGGGAACTTTTGCTTTGGACTGGCAAATTTGTTTTGGTTTCAATCCGGTTCCGGGTTCAATATCATGTTTCTTCTTACAGTCACTTGCAATCTGAGCTTTTGTGCGTCTGTCTCTAGGTTTAGCTACTGGCTTGGAAGGATTTGGAGCCATGGAAGTAGAGTAATCAAGTGGGTTTTGTTGATTGTGGTTTGTACGATGATGACGGTCAACAGAGATGAATATCACGGAGCAGAGAACGAGTGATCAAGAGGTCTCAAAGCTAGACTGACGTCATCTGTTGGATCAGCTTGGTTTCCTGCTCTAGTAATAAAAAGGCATGAACACATTTGGGATTTGTGGTCATAAAAAATTGAACTTGAGCCCTCTTAATAGAAGTGGGAAGATGGTAAAGATCGAGATCATGATAAGATTATAAATATAATCAAAAGATGATAAAATGCTTCTTCTTGACCAAGGAAGGTAATGAGGGGTTATTGCAAGTTGCACGTGAGAGTGCAAGATGCGCGTAGGACGCGAAAATGGCTTTCTCATTATTTTGTCGGAGCTACGTCACGTGGCACTGTAACCTATTCTCGTATCTAGAAGAGACCTCCTAGTGCCCAATAATGTATTTCTTCGTGTCTTTGAGAGAATCATTTGCTTCTTTTACTACACTTGAGATATTTGAGTGTCACAAAACCCAATGATCATTAATGTGTCAGCCAACATGAAAAGTGGTGGGTTTGAAAAGTACGAGAATGAGGAAGTCGGTAATGGTCAGGGAACATTCACTTTGTACACTACATGTGTTTGTCGGTCGAAAAACATTCCACTCATTTCAAGGAGCTGGCCACTGGTTTTCCGATAACGTCGCTGAACTCTAGAATAACTTGTGCCATGACCAAAATAATGAAGTATATACAGAAAGATCTATCAAATTGTACGTCAAAGAAAAGACGAGCTCCTCAAAACTGTTTAGTTCATGGCAAAAACCAATATTACTAGACATCTTTCATTTCAACTGACTTTTTATCTCAAGTTTCAATGAAGTATAACGTCAAAGGTTTTCTTACCCATAAGCTTCGCTAGAACAAATCATCAATCTCTCGCGCAAAAGGACACATTCGTGTCGATCGTAACGCAAACAAAACCGGTATAGAAGTGTTAATTGACACCAACACTCAAACAAATACTACGACTCCAAATGAATCAAAATGAAATTCAACAAAAAACAATTAAAAATGAAAAGTAAAACATCATTGACATGGTCCACCCGAACCAAGAATCCCGGGTTGTCAGAACCAGATAGTAAGATCTGTTAAAAAAGCAATCTGTTAGTCAACGAAATAAATGACAAGATATGTTGGAATAGGAAGAAAGATGGATCGAAACACAGGCTGGCTCAGTTACTATCTAGCGAATCACTTGATTTGTTCAACATGACTTCAATCACAAGTAGTGTGATTCAAAATTCAGTTGTCCCTATCTAAGGTGTGAAGTCATCATCGCCAGCCCATGCATCTCAAACGAGAGAAAAGTCAAAAAGAAAAAGAAACGCGTCCTACCAAACATCTAAACCGAAGACTCGAATTGTAATGCATTAATCCTCTTCAACACCTTCACCATCCCCACTTTTCATACCTTCGAATTTAGTTTTCTTGAGTGAAATCTGATTAGTTAAAAAGTTACCGCCACTCTTGGCCCTTAATTGTTCAATATCTTCATCTTTATCATTTGCATAAGAAATCACAAGATGACGTCCTAAAAGATGAGTATGTTTCAAAGACTTCATAGCTTCTTCTGCTTCTTTTTTAGTTGTATACTCAATAAATCCAAACCCTCTTGTTTTTCTATCTAATTTTTTAGGTAATCTAACTGATTTAAGTTTTCCAAACGATCCAAATAACTCACGTAGTTCTTGTTTACTCGTTTCAAATGGTACATTCTTGACTAATAATTTGGTTGAACTGATCCCATCATTTGATTCTTTAGTAATTATTCCTCCATTTCTACTATCTTTCTCTTCTTCTTCTTTTCCACGGTTAGCAAATTTAATTTCAAGTGCATGGGCATCAAGTCGATAACCTTGCGCAGCTTTGATAACATGTTGAGCTGCAGATACTGTTTTGAAACCAACAAATCCAAATCCCATACTGAGTCGATTCTTGGGATTCTTGGGATCTGGTTTGGTTTGGAGACGTGCGAAGAGAAAGTCGGGGAAAGTAGAAAAAGAAGAAGAGAAACCTTCGGAAGTAGTTGAATATGAAATGTTCTTGACAAAGAGGGTTGAACCTGGTTCTCCTTCATCGATGGAAACTTTAGGCTGAGCAGGTGGAACGGAAGAGATGATACCATCGAAAGCGGTAGCTGAAGGTTTGGGAGCATTGGGTTTCCAAATCCCATCCGGTGCTCTCTCCAAGTAAAGAACTGAATTGCCAACACGTTTGTATGCCAACGACTTAAAGGCACTCTTGGTGTCTTCGGCATTGTGCATTTCAACTAAGGCGATTGTACCGGAAGGAGGTATGAGAATCCTAGAGACTTCCCCATGTGGTGTAAACATACTGCGCAACACTTGTGATGTCGTACCGTATGGAATGTTCTTGACAAGCAGCGTAGTAGAAGATCGACCGTTTTTGATCTGACTAAACGCCTCAGTGTTGATTCCCTGCTCTTCAAAATACTCCTTCGTCTCGGTGATAACATGAGTTTCAGCAAGCGCTAACTTGATCGACGGGTTTTGAGAATCGGGATCGTAAAGCTCAGACTTGGAAATCTTGAGCCGGTCGGCAACGGATGCAGCGACAGCATCGGACTACGTTGAGGATGCACAGATGGGGGATACGAAGCCATTTTAGTACTCTTTAGGAGCAGCAAATGAAATCAAACTATAGAAATTGAATGAAAAGATATTTACGTTCATGTATAAACTCGCCCAATTGAATTGCTTGCTACTTACAAGCTTTCGCTTCAAATCTTGTTCTTGCTTAACAACATTCTTGCCTGCTCGTCCAGATTCGTTTTCAGGGCGAGCATTGCGAGTGACGGCAGGCAAGATATGGAGTAATCGACCCTGGAAATCACGCTGATCCAGTTGTTTGAAGGCCTCTAAGGCGTCCGATGACCGCTCAAAAGAAACATATGCAACGCCCTTTTGCTTCCGCTCGCGATTGAGAGGGATATGAACCTGAAAAAAACATAAATGTCAGACCTTCTGCTAATTTTGGTGAGTAAATGTGAGGGGATGCTGGGTGGCTATTCAGTTACTATCTAGCGATCCAATGAGCTATCAGCATCGCAATCAAGCTGAACATGATGCTAAGCTGTCCCTATCTAAGGTTTGGTATCATCATGAAGCCGGGGCGAGAGGGATAGAAAATATGAAAAGAGAACGAAGATACTGACCTGAGAAACGGCACCATAAGTTGAAAACAATGACATGAGGTCTTCCTCTAACAGTGAGAAAGGAAGATTTCGAAGGAACAAGCGACCGGTTTGTAGGATGCAGGCTTCGGTAGAAGTTGATGAGTCTGTCGTAGCTGTGGAGTGGGTTGCATCCGCTGTTTCAGCTAGAGGTTCAGCATTGATCGGCTGGGGTTCGTCTTGATCCCACTGCTTGTCTACGGGCGATTCGGTAACAACAACGGCGGAATCAAGGGAGTCGACACCTCCAATCGTACGCTTCATTCGACGAGCCATATACTCTTTGTCAGTGATTTCATCATCGTCACCAATGACAGGGGGGACGTCAGGCGTATTATCAGCCGGAATAACTGGAGGGGTAGAAATATCGTTGAGAACAGGAGAGTTGTGAGATGTAGATTGAGTAGGTTCTTTGTGAGAAGAACTAGAAGCTGCAACAAGAGGGGGTGGTTGAAGTGTAGTAGCGGGGACTTCCAATATATCATCGACCAGTGATTTGTGCAGGCGAGGTTGCATCGTAGACAAAAAAGCTTGATAGTCTGGATTCGTCTTCTTGTCCTTCGAGTCAGGTACTTTCTGTCTTTTGGGTGCTGGTCCATTCGAGACTGAGACACTTGTAGTGGTTGGTCGCTTTCCACTTTGCAATTTAAAGACGAAAGAATGATCTCAATAAAGGTTTGATAAACAGGTAAGAAACAGATTTCGAGTTGGACAGACCAAATCAGACCTTGTTCTCTCCGCATTACATTCGTCAACTGCCTTGGCGTATTGTACATCAACCCGACTGCCACTAGCGTGTCCAGTCAATCCGTTTATCCAAACCCCTTGCCAAACATCCTTTGCCCAATTGGCTTCCGCATCAGACTTGTATCCAACAAAAGCCATTCGACGAGATCGACCTTCCTTGGTCATCAGCACCTTGATATCGGTTGGACGAGGAGTGACATGATCGAAGTCTTCAGGTGGTGAGACTCCAAGAGGTGGTTGTGAAAAGATTTCAGTCAAATGTTTTGTGGTGATATCCGCTGGAAGGGAGGAAACGAGAAGACGAGGCCTGTTTCATAGAGAAAGAGATAGATGAGATGATATGCTCGCTGATGATAGTTTATGATAAGAATGACTTACATGGTAATGAAGTAAACAAATTTTAATCAGGTTCAGAGATGGAATTATTGAGATTGAAACCGAGCTGATTGGTCAAACTCATGATTCACAAATTTCGATTCGAATTATTTGAGGGTTGTCTGCAGCTTTGGCTGCGGCCGAGCTACATGTATGGTTTCATATTCAAGGCTCACTTGTGGTTCATCAGTCTTCACGAATCCATAATCGATAATCCATGAAGGTCTGCCACGCCGACTGCGACTTGTACAAATAACAATTGTCAAGTTAAGTTGTCTCTTCGGATGTGACTGAATGTCAGGAAAAATATTCTCCTGTGCATTTGCAGAAAGAATAACCCCATGATCCTCTTTCGCCAGATTCCGATTTCGCGATCATGAAAAGCTTTGACAACACAAGAATACCAGAGTCAAGCCGTCACCCGGCGACTATCCGGCGACATCTAGCCATTCCGCGCACCGAGCCGACGGATATTTTCAAAATCCGGACTTGACGGATACTACCTTTGCTAAAAAGCTTGCCCGGTTCGATCGCGAACAAGAGACAAGAGAGGTCGAATTTGGCCGCAGCCTGCTGCGAGGCCGCTGCGCAACTCGTCAAGATCCCAAATTTGGCCGATCACAAATTCTAAGAGATCGACTGCACCTGTGGATCTCTGACTTCAACCAATTCTGAGACACATTATGACTATATTCACAGCATGTCTGGAGCTTGGTATGTCAAGATCAACCATACAGTCGAGTGCAGCTCTAATTCGACGCTATTCATAATGGAAATCACCGCCTATCCCAGAGTTCTCCTGGTGTAATGGTTTGAAGTAGTGGTTGTGACACTGCGTGAAAAACCCTGTCGGAACCGGCCCCGCGACAGCCTGTCGCCCGGCATATGTATATATTTACATAGCCAGCGACAGATACACTTTTGGCCAGCGACACTTCAAGTTTTCCTGCGACAGCTGGTTTGGTTTTGCGACATCTCATCCCCACTCCCCCTCCGATCTGCCTGCGACATCTCCTTCGCCCTTCTTCCCTCTTCATCGCACCTCTTGATCTGGATCCGCCAAATCCTTCT